CCCCCAGGTGGATGAGCTCTACTGGCATGCGTGGGATTCTCTAGGCTTCACTTTGTGGTGGGCAACACAGTGATTTTGAAACCTCTAGACCAGGCCTGAGCCTGGTTCATCCCTTAATTTTTCCAGTGTCATTTTCACTGTGGATGGGTCAATAAGTCACGACTAGCACTAAGAGCATTCTCAGAAGCTCCTTTTATTCCTCTTGAACAGTTAAAAATACCAAAGGTGTTTACCGAAAGGGAGTTCAACATGCATTATGTGAGTAATGGCTAGCATTGTTAGGCTCTTTACACAGTAGTTTATTTGATTCCTTCAATGGTTCTGCACAGGTAGATATTGCTGTTGTTCCCATTTTGCAGATGATTCAAGTAAATCACAGAATTTGCTCAAAAGCAGCAGTGACTTTGTCAGTGGGAAAATCATTGTGTCCTCTAAGTCACACCACTGATTTTAAGAAACTAACAGTAAAGCTTTCTTTCTCCAGGGAATTGATGTTGACATCTGACTGTAGTGTCACATTAGACAGGAGAAATACCTCTCCCCTCACTGGTTAAGGTGTACAGAATTCTGCTCTCCCTGTTCCTGCCATAGTGACACTGAAGTCAAGAAGTTGGGAAGGACAGAATGGGGGTGGGAAGAGGAACAAGAGCATTTGTTTCGGAAGACATTGTTGTCTCCAAGGAAGGGACTCAGAAGTCTTCTGAGCTGTGAGTGGCAGGTGTGCCTTTGATCCAATATGGGACACTTAAGCGGATGCCAAATCCTGAACACATTGCCTTTTACATCTCATTTTCCCATTCACGAAATTAAGTAATTATATCCTGGGGGGAGAAAAAAGCTGTAGCACTGGCTATACCGTATGCATTCGATGTCACTACAGGTAGCAGATTGAGCTTAACAAGCCATATGGGTTGTAATTGTCTAAGTATGATTAATTCATAATGTTTGCTCATTTTATGCCTTTTATTATGATTTGTTATTATTTCATTTAATTACAGTGCGAGTCCTTTTTCTAGGTGTTATCAGAGGCCCTTAGGGATTTTCATATTCCCAAAATAATAACAAGTGACACCCCTGTATTTCTGGATTTTATCTGGGACTCGTTTCTATTGGTGGAAGGACCATGGAAGGCCACGGTGAACTTGGAGCAGATGGTGCATCCGGCCGTTGCTGAACTCTGCTTGCAGCCCGAGGAAAACTTTATACTGAAGGTGGAATAATGGCTTTCTGCTCAGTTTATTGTAAATTCTAAATGGGGTGATTGAAGGCTGTAATGATCAGTGTTGTTGGACGCCTCTGGCTTCAACATCTGGCGAAGCCCTTTACTAGCTGACAGCCGTTAGCCTTGGCACCGTGGCGTGCTGCCAGGATCTATTGTTTTAAGTAGGTGGGGAACCTGCTAGAAGCATGTATCTCTAGTTTGTATATCAAGACAAAAAACCACAAACAAACAAAAAACCAATTTATTTTCAGGATTAACTTTACCCTGGTACACTCAATGAAAACAGAGCCTTTTGTATATTGTTATGGAAATGCTGTAGTCTCTATGCTCAAAACCCAAGGTATTTTTGTTCCTTTTATTTCAGGGAGTGGGTACCAGGGATTGAACCCAGGAGTGCTTAACCATCCGTAGTCCTTTTAATATATATGTTTGTTGTTGTTGTTCTTTAGAGACAGGATTTTACTGAGTTGCTTAGGGCCTCACTAAATTGCTGAGGCTGGCTTTGAACTCGGGATCCTTTTGTTTCAGCTGCAGAAGCTGCTGGGATTACAGGCGTGCCCTACCATGCCTGGCTTATTATATTTTTTTTTTTTCAGAGTAGAAATTAGAAGTTTATTAAAGGACAGCAGAAAAGACTTCTCCCGGAGGAAGAAGGGGACCCCAGAGGTGGAATCCCGCTTATTATATTTTGAATTCAAGAACTTAATATTCTAAGCCCTCAGTAGCCTCTATCAGAGACAAATCGCAATTGATAATAAGCATGAGATAAATTTAGGAAAATTCGGGCCGGGGTTGTGGCTCAGCGGTAGAGCACTCTCACCCAGCACGCGCGAGGCCCTGGGTTCGATCCTTATTTGGGGGAAAAAAAAATTGGGAAAAGTTGGCTTAAGCTATTAATAAAACTTATCCAACAAAAATGGAACAGATTGTATTCTGGAGACAACAGAATGAAGGGTGAACAGTGAAAAGAATGGCACTTCATGTTGGAATACTCAGTTTGTCTATGATTTGCAAGTATTGGAATTTAAGAAATAATAATAATAGAGGCAAGATGTTTGGAGTAAACATTTCCATAGCTAAGATTTTTAAATTCAGGCTTTGGGTGATTAATACATTTCAAATAAGAATAAAAGTAACATTTGAAAAGGAAACTATTGCTTGAGTTGTTAAAAATTTTTCATATTTTTTGTTACCATTTTTTTTCAGTAATTAAAAAAAAGTCATTTTAAAATTTGTTTTCTTTCACATTTAAAAAATAATGTTACTAGAGTTAGGGACCTCAGAATTTTGGCCTCTTTTTTTCTTTTTTCTTTTTCTTTTTTTTTTGAAACAAATCATCAGAGAGAGCTGGTGGTGGTAGGGTAGGGGAAGATGAACTTGGGTCTGTCTGCTGTGAAACTGCCATTTCTATATGCTCCATGTGAAAATAAACTGAGAAGATCTGAGGTGAGAGGAAGTGGAGGAGATAACCCATCCGGGAACTTTTCAGAAAGAGAGGGCCTACTTTTTCGAGGTTAACTAGTAGAACCTCATTGAAGAGTAGAAGTGTAGCCTTTTCTAATATCTGGAAGTGTTTCTGCTTTGCCAACCTAAAAACAAAACATTCAATCCTCCAGTCTTCAGAGATCCTGCCTTGAAATTATGTAGTTTTTGTTCTACTCTGCAAAAATGCCAAGCCCATCCTCAAAGTAGATTCCTCTATGTGGGTGCTGAGCCAGTGCCAGGAACCCAGTGGAGGCTGCTGCTACTCCTGTAGCAGATGATGATGTTTAAGATGATGATGATGAGGTTGAGGAGGTTAACCAATTGAAATAGCATTATTTTTAAAGAGCCTTATGTCTTAGATGCCCTTATAAATGCTGAATCACATTTTAAGAACTCTACCAGTAAGATTGATATTTTAAAACAGCCACTTCCAAAAATCAACTTTGATAGTATCTAGAATTTATATCAAGATGAATAATGGATCTAGTTCCATGGGTATCTTAAACACCAGAATTGAAGAAAAATGAAAGTTGTATTCATTAGGTAAGCAATCCCCACGTGATCAGTAGCCTTAGTGTTTCATCTCTTAGTCCTGGTAACATTTCAGGGTGGAGGGTGTTACTTTACATCCTGTTTTACAGATACAGAAACTGAGGTTTAAAAAAATTAAGGAAACTGCCCAAGGTCACACAATACTAACTGGTGACCCCTGCGTTTGAACCCAGTCTTCCTAACTATGGAAACATCACCTCTTAACTACATCAGCAAAAGAAAATCCTGTAGAAGTCACTGTTTCTCTTGCTGTATTGCTGATGAAATCACCAGGCCCCCTGTCCCAGGCCAACTTCATGTGACCTGCATCTGGGCCAGATCACATGACTGTATGTGAAGTCACAGCATGCTGCTTTAGCTATGAGCACAATATTACAGAATCATAATTTGGAGATTGCTATCTTTCTGGGAGCTAATGACTGATGCCAAATGACTCACAAGGGCAGTACAGAGGAGATTAAAGAATGTCACCTGGTATTCAGGGCAAGAACTCTGCCACTAATTAAAGGTGTGTGGCTGCCAGTCAGGTAGTGTCTCCAAGACTCATTTTTTTTTACCTGCTATAACATGACAGCATTAGAGTAATTTATGTACGAAGTTTCTTCAAGTTATAACATTTTAGAGTTTTAAGGATGCTGAAGCCACGGGTCATATGAGGAAATGGCCCTAAATGGCCATTGTTCCTATTAATGTGGGAACATTTCATTTTGAGACAAGTATGTGGTATTTTGATATAGCTTGAAAACAGAGGCAATGGCTTTCCCTGTGAAGTTTTTCTTTCCCATAGAAGGTCTAGGATTGGTCCCTTTGGGAAGGGCAGGGGCAGCCCAGCAGCTGCCAGATCTCCTGGAAAAGGGATGCCATGTGGTTATGCCAAGAACTCTGAGTGTCAATCTGGACCCAATACTGTGTCTCTTGCTGTTGCTTGCTCCTGCCAACTGCTGCTTTCTGCTCCAGCTGTGTGGAATCTGGGCCTGGCACCGTGGGTTCTGTCTTGGCATGCTGTGTGTGTCTGAGGGCGGGGGAGGGGGGTGTGAAAAGGAGGAGGTGGGTAGCTTGCACTTGCGCATGCGCCTCTAAGCTCCGCGTATTGTGATGTCAAGGAGCGAAACAGCAGCTGTAAGTGGGACTTCATCCTCTTTACCTGCACACTGCCAAACCAAATTTGGCTTTACTTCCTCAACACTTTTTGCTGTTGAGCCAGCAGAAGAACCAGTGATGACAAAGCAGAGAGAGGGTGGGCTGTTCAGTGGTGTAACCTAGCCGGTGGCCCAGTATGTCTGAGCGCGGATCTCTGCACATCCGTAGAACTGCATGGGCATCTCTGCCTTCTGCTGTTTTGTGTTTTGTGTTTTTTTTTTTTTTTCTCCTGGGTGAATCACAAGGATTGAGACATCCGTGGCTTCCCCAGCCAGGCCTGTAGTTGGGAGGCATCCGAGTGTTTCTGTGAGGTGCTTCTTACATTTGGGCAGACTGGCAGACTGCAGAGTCAGCGACTCCGTGGGTGTGGGGACAAACTGTACCCACTCATAAATCAGTCAGGTCCTGTAGCTACTTTTTTTTTTTTTTTTTTTTTGATACTGGTAATTGAACCCAGGGGTGCTTAACCAGTGAGTCACATCCCCAGCTCTTTTTTGTATTTTATTTAGAGACAGGATTTTGCTGAGCTGCTTAGGGCCTCGTTAAGTTGCTGAGACTGGCTTTGAATTATAGATCCTCTTGCCTCAGCCTCCCGAGCCACTGGGATTCCAGGCATGCATCACCGCACAGGCCGGTCTCTGATATTTTAGATGTCAGTAAAAACGGGCTGCTTCCATGACATGCAAGTGGGAGAAAAATACCATATAGACAATATTACCTATAAAATTGTGAGGTCAGGGACAATTTTTCCTGTCTTCTTATCATTATATATTTGTTCCCTTTAATGTTTTTTTTCTTAAAACAAACTCCTATCTTGATACTGTTTTACAACCTCTCTTCCTCTAGTTACTTTGATGGGCAGTTAAAACCATCCATCCATCCTTCTTTCAACATCACCCAGCTGATTGCTATGAATACAGAGACTAGCAAGAAGACACCTGCTTCCCCAGAACATCTTTTTCTCTTCCCACTATTTTTTCCCCCTTCCTGTGCTGTATCAAATCCACAACCTCATACATGTGAGGTAAATGCTCCACCACTGAGCCTCACCCCCAAACCCAGAACTTGCATTTTAACAGAGAGGACACTGAACAAACACAATGATGGATGCTGAGCTCTGTGGGAGGGGATACCAGGAAGTATGCAAGAGAACACCTAGTGGAGTCTTTACCAAAGGCTGATCACGCCACAGTGTACCAGGCATGAGAAGTCTGCAGAACATGTGGGAGATGAGGTTCTGCCTTCAGAGACCTTGCGGTCTGGCTGAGGTAACCAGATGGATGCAGAGGAAACAGAACCATGGAGGGTAACTGGATGGGGCACCTCAAGCTGAATTTGGGTTTCAGAAGGGTAAAGCATTTGGGGTCAGCAGTCAACTCACAATGTCTAGAATTGGGTCGACTTATTTGGTTCCATCTGGAACTTGAGGAGCTCTGTGGCTATTTAGAACTTGTACCATTATATAACAAAACATTGTGGGTGTGCAGCTTTTCTTAGCTAGCTCTTAAGGGGCAGAAATCATGGATTGTACTGCTTTGCATTTCTTGTGGTGTCTAGTCCTTGGCTGTCTCTTTGGTAGCTACTCAATAAACATTTGTGAAATAAGTGCAGGATGTCATAATTTCTTATTGTTTTTCTGTAATTCTAGAGCACAAGCAAGATGAGGGGCTACGATTACTCAGGGGGTTGGAAGTTCTAGGTTCCTTGTTGGCTTTTCTGGCAGCCTCTCATGGAAGCTCCGTTCACCCCACGTGGAGCAAGATGAGTGAGCATAATTCCTTCTGCTTACAGCACTCTGACTGGCAGGGCAATCTCATAAGCATTTGAGGGGATGGAGAGTGACAGCAGACAGATGGGCCCATTGACAAGTGTGTCCCCTTGTGGTGCTCCTGTCACAACTGAATTATTCTATCATTTGTGCTGTCACCAAATCAGACTGATCCAAGAAGTGGAAGGAAGAGTGTTTCCAGTGACTTCTAGTCACAGGGAAGTGGCTCTCTGGTGTGTGTGCTTTTTGGCATGGGACTGGCTTTTTTACTTTCTAGGAGTGGAGTGCTTGGGGGAGCGTAGTAGGATGTAAATAAGCGACCTGCTTAACAGGGTGATCTTCTGCATTGTGTCCTGATTTGGGTATCATTTGTTTAACCAATTTCTTCTCCCTGTTTCCTGCCCTAAATGTAAGGAGCTGGGTTTGGTAGTGCAGGAGTTGTGCTGGACCACAGTCCTCACCAGGAAACCATGCTGCCTTCCACTTGATCCCACCAGTACCTGGGTGCTGGGGCCCTCACTTGCCAACTTCCAAATGACCTCATGAGTGGGACAGTATCGTGCCAATGTCCAAGGACATGGGTCATTCTGCAAGGACAGTTCCCCCAGGGCTTTAGGATGCTCAAGGACCACTTGGAAGAAGGGAGGAGCCACTGTAGCTGTGCCTCCGACATCCCTGTCACATCAGTCTCAGGAACCTGCCATTCCAATCCCAGAGTGCATGATGGCTCTGGGAAATGGGGAACTAGAATATATTAGGGCTGTTTCAAAGGAAATTCTAGAAAAGTTATTTACTAAAGATCTACCTATTTACTAGAGACCTACTTTTTGCATATAAAACCCCCCAAAAAACAACAACAATAAAAACAATAACAAAAAATGGTTTTTGCCTTTTATTTATAGAAAAAATTGAAATCTATACAGGAATAAAGGGAATTATAAAATGAAATAGAATCACATATTATATATTTATTTACCAGGGGAAATACAGTTATTTTTTCATTGTTCATCACAATTCATATTTTGTGAAAGTTTTTCTCAATTATCCCAATAACTTCCCTTTGCTCATTTTCTATGCAGACATTCTATAATCTGTCAAGGTAAAGTTTCTAGTGCATGAAGGCTAAGTTCCTACTGTGATCCAGGAGAATGGAGATGACCAGAGACTGACCTTGACATCTGGGAACTCAATGTCTAGCTAAGAAGGCAGGGAAAAGATGTTCAGCTATAGTAAGGAACGCTTCATTGTCCGGATATCCCAGCATCTGACTGCTGAATGAATGAGGTATGTGCATGTATGTGGGTGTGTTTAGATACCAGGGGTATCTAAACAGCACATGTTAGGGCTCAGCTCTTCCATACTTTGAATTTGGTATGTAATTATGAATAAAACCATGAGACATAAAAACAGAAGCCATTATGCCTCATGATTCCATTGACTTTGGGACTTTCTTCATGACAAGCAGTGGATTTACTTTTTGTTTTCATTCCTGCCATTTGGGACAAAGTATTGCAACTATTTTAATGTCTGTGTGTGTTTTTAAACACATGAAAACTGGCCACCCTAGAGACTTACTTTTTGTATATTTTTAAAAAATGTTTTTTTTTTTTTTGCTTTTTATTTATGGATAAAATTGAAATCTATACAGAAATAAATTGTAAAATGAAATCAACTTATCCATCATCAGCCCCAGGATCTGTAAGCTCAGAGTCAATCTTATTTCTTCTGCAGCCCTCCCTCCCACTACGGCTTTCCACTCTGCCCCAGATTATTTTGAGGCAAATCCCAGATGTATCATTTCATCTTCCATGTTTCTGCACTCTTAGTGTTTGCTTGTTATTATGCAGGAGAACCTCAAGGACATTCACAGACCCCACTATTCACACTGACTCACTGCTGTTACCTGCCTGGCCCCTGTAAGCATTTGGGTTTGCAACCTTGAATGTCCTCTTTTCTCATCTGTTCCCCCAGTTACTTTTGCTATTATCTTCTCAACATATAATTTGTGCTCCTGCCTATAAATATCAAAGCTGTATTGATAACTACAGTTAAATAGTAAATTGCACGATGCAATGTTAGCTTAATTTTTATCCATTGTGAGAGTTAGATTTTGATTTCTGGGTGTCTTTACTTTCTGGACTGGCTAAATGGGGTTAAACATGCTGGTTCATTTTACTTCCTCTATGCAGCTTGATGAAAATGGCTTTTAGGATTTACCTTGAAACTAATGATAATACTTTAGTAACATCACTTAACTTTAGACTTTGTAACCTTATACCTGAGTTTTGAGAGGGACTAGACCAAAGAGTTTATAATAATTTGAAGCAGCTGCCTCAATCTAAAATGCTACTGTTACTATCCTTCTACTATTATAACTAAATCTCATGACAGTAAATCTCTTCTACCATCCAGAATGAAATCCTTTGGGATTAGTAGACTTTCCCAGGACTTGCAAAACACAGGACCTATTAGCAATTGGCAAGCTCCCTTTCTTAGAACAAGGAGGGAAATCTAAGTGAAATTTATGCTGGAGAAATGATGATTCTGGAACACTAGAGTTGTTTCACATGAGGATGTAATTGAATAATGAGAAAATTTAGCTATAAGTAAATTATGTATATATGCCTATATTTAGCATATTTATTTACTTAACAATATTATTTTGTAAATATATGTAGAATACTATGTAATTATATTTGCAAGATAATATAATATGTATACATTGTACTCACAAGTAGAAACATTTTTATAGTCATTCTCTTTTCTAACCACAGAGAGATTTTGTCATATTAATGAAAATATAGAACTGGTAATAGAATTATTTTTAAACTACACAGTGTTTCATTTCTTTGTTCAATAATGATGCACATTTTAGAAAGTCATCAACATATTAATATTTAATAATATTTCAAACCAGCCATTTACAGAAAGCAACTTTGATCATGTTCAGAGTTGATATTAGTGTGAGGAAAACCAGAAGTACAGAGGAGTACATACCACACTCCTTAGGAAAGGAGACTGAGTGACCTGTTTGGGGAGTACATTTAGATGGCAAGTCTGTGTATCTTTCAAAACAATGTATTGGTTTTGTTACCAAAAGCTTGGTCTTTGCCCCCAATGCCAATCCAGTAATGAATTCATGGTTTTGAGAAAACGGAAAAAGAAGGTTTATTGCTTTGCTAGCGAAGGAGAAACACAAGGGGCCTCCTATCCCAGAGGCTGTGATTCTGCCCATCAGTAGGAACAGGGGTTTTTAAAGAGGACTCAGAGGCTACATTCCAGTGTTCTCTGTTGGAGTTGTAATTCACTTGTTAATTTGGGAAATAGTCCTTCCTTCCTTCCTTCCTTCCTTCCTTCCTTCCTTCCTTCCTTCCTTCCTTCCTTCCTTCCTTCCTTTCCATACGTGACAATAGTGGAAGTATTACACTCATTATTACCCATTTACAGCACAAGTTTTCATAACACTGTATATAAAGTATGTTCACACCAAATTATGCCATTATACATGTAGTCATTTCTGAGATCTTTTGGTATGTCCTCAAAGTCTGGATTACTTTGTTCCTATGGTGGGTGGGTGCTTGAGGACAGATAAATCTGCCTAAAATGAGGAGGAAAGGTAATCCTGTTTTCCCGAGATTAGGGAGGAGCAGGGAGAGAGGAAGAGAAGGAAATATGTCCATTTTAAAAATAAGTTGCAATGGTAGAACAGCAGGGCTATATTCAAAGCATACAGTGGACTGTTAAGGTCTGTAAACAAGTCAAAATAACACTTGGTATTTTGCCAGGGGAATGTTAAAGTTCATAAACAAGTCTGGATGGTGCCTGGCAAAATGCCAGAGGGAGTGGTTTGAGAAGTAACAAAAAGGAGCTATTAAGTGTGGAGATTCCTTATTGGTTGACTGATGTATCTAGTTTATGCTAATTAAGATAAGTTGTGTGAAATGTATAAATAGCTCTGTTGTCCTACAATAAAGGGCTCCTACTCCTGCTGTATCAATCTACAAGAGTTATTCGTCACCCCCCAGCTATTCTGCTGCAGCCAGACTGTGGCAGTGGACCACTGTTATAATTTCCCACTGTCAATTTCTACATTCCATTTCTCTAGAAAAAATGGGCAATGACATCTTCAAACTGCTTCCTCCTGAAAGGGGGCAAAATTGGGGGAAATAACCCAAACTCCTTGTTCTCTGTTAGGTGGGGCATGGACAGTTAAGGGCATTCAACATCAGAGCAGTCCAGAGGTCCATGTGGCAGGTGGCAGGTGACTGGACAAGGCATACACAGGGCACGGATCATGCTAAGACAATAATAAACAAGACAGAAAGCATTACTTTTTTTTTTTTAATAAACAATTAGCACAAAAGCAATTAGCATTTCAGTCACTCTTTGAAAACCTTGAAGACAGTAACTCATAATCTTATCAGTGAAAAACAGATCAATTTTGTCAATCTAGAAGGTTAGGAATATTCGTAGGTCTATGAGATATACTCAAATTTACTCAGGACAGATTTGTGACTCTGTGATCATTATTATTAGGAACTCCTACACAAGAACCCTTCCTTTATAGCCTCCAGTTTTACTTACTTTTGGTAGGGCTGACACAAGAGTACATCTTAAGTTACATTAAAAACAAACAAACAACAAAAAAAACACATTTTTTTTTTCAAATGTCCATGTAGGACTGTGCTATTAGGCTATACTGTCCTGCCAGGTGTTTAAGACCAAGTTAGTCAAAACTGACTTTGTCCCCATCTACTCTTGAGAGTCAGCTGAGATGCTTCAGAGATCACTCTTGGGGATGTGTGCAAAGCCTCTTGGTTCCTTTCATTTTCCTTTATCAGTGGTGCCATCTTCCAGGAAGGATCAGAGTCCTGCTGACCATATGTGGCTTCTCTTGGAAGCATCAGTGACATTTCCATCTCCAATGACCCTTATCTTTGTAGAATGTACACTGGTTGGCTTCCTGCTCTCTAGGGTCCTCTGGATCTCCCTGATCAGTAGATCAGGTGACTCACCAGAGTTTCAGGGCCCAGGGAGGGGTCCTGTTATTCTCTTGGTCCTGGCTGACCTTAGAGGGCAAAGGCCAAATTGTTGGCTGCTTTTTCCTTGGGCTTTTTATTTCCTTGACTTTGGTCTCTAAGTATTTGGTTTTAAACACCCAGCCAGCCAGTTTTTAAAAAGTTTTTAAAAAGGGGGTAACAGATATCTATAATTTTATAGTTACCCTTTTCATTTAATTGGGGTTAGTATTAGTACTGGAAGTCAGCATTATATATTATCTGTACTGTAGGTGATGGCTTATTATCTCAAATTAATTCAAGTTATTTTATTAGAAGCAGTTCTCTGCAAAACATTAATGGGCAACAGTTTCAAAGTTTACAAGGAAAATACAAAATGAAATTAGCAGAGCAAAAAAAAATATTCAGTTTGTGTAATAGCTATGAACCGAGAAAAAATATATTTATAATCTTGAACCTTTACTTAGTTATATATTATATCCCCTGTTTGAGATAAAAGTAATTTTTTATTCTAATTTGTTACATATGACAGCAGAATACATTACAATTCATATTATACAAAAATTATGTATAGAACACAATTTTTTTACATCTCTGGTTATACACAAAGTATAGTCACACCCTTCATGTCTTCATACATGTACTTAGGGTAATAATGTCCATTTTATTCCACCCTCTTTTCTACCTCTATTCCCTTTAGGAATTAAATCAGAGACACTGCATCTAATAAAAGAAAAAGTAGGCCCAAATTTCCATCATGTCGGATTAGGCCCCACCTTCGTTAATAAGACTCCTATAGCGCAAGAATTAAAATTAAGAATTAATAAATGGGATGGATTCAAACCAAAAAACTTCTTCACAGCAAAATAAAGAATTAGTGAGGTGAATAGAGAACCTATAAAATGGGAGGAAAATTTTTACCACACGCACATCAGATAGAGCACTAATCTTTAGAATATATAAAGAACTCAAAAATCTAAATACCAAAAAATCAAATAACCCAATCAATAAATGGGCCAAGGAACTGAACAGACACTTCTCAGAAGATGATATACAAATCAGTCAACAAATATATGAAAAGATGTTCAACATCTCTAGCAATTAGAGAAATGCATATCAAAACTACTCTAAGATTTTATCTCACCCCAGTTAGAATGGAAGTTATCAAGAAGATAAGCAATAATAAGTGTTAGAGATTATGTGGAGTGAAAGGTACACTCATACATTGCTGGTAGGACTACAAATTGGTGCAACCACTTTGGAAAG